GGATTTGCACCTGCACTTTAGGACCAATTCTGGAGGCGTGTCCAGAACCCAAATCCTGCTAATGAGAGTTCTGCTGAGTTAAACTCAAAGCAGTCTGCTCCTCAGATAAATAATGTTAAATTATTATTTTAAATATGAATGTTTCTGTTAACTTATTTTAAATATGAATGTTTCTGTTAACTTATTTTAAATATGAATGTTTCTGTTAACTTATTTTAAATATGAATGTTTCTGTTAACTTGTTTTAAATATGAATGTTTCTGTTCAGTGCTCTGAGACGACTTCTGTCGTGACTTGGCTCTATATAAATAAACTGAACTGAATTAAATCTGATTAACCAAATTCTACAAAAACATCTATATTTAAAATTCTGTATTTTTCTTCATCATTTGATGTATTTGTGCTAATTTTGTGTCTACTTGTATTGTTCAATTTAAATGTGTGGTTTTGTTTCTTGTATGCAGATTTTATTTTAGCTTTGGTTTAAAGTGTAATTCTTGTTTTGTGATTTGTAAATATTCCTGATAAATCCAATAATTTTCTTTTTATGATTTTTCAGCTGAGTTAACTTTAATTAACAGATTATTTAATAAAGTCAAATAGTATTTAATAAAGTCCAAGTGAAAACAACATTTCATGATAAACCTGGCACTGTTTATTTTATTTTTAATCTTCACTGATTTAAAAAAAAAAACATTATTTTTTTTTATACATAAAATGTTTTTTAAAACCAAGAGCAGAGAAGTTTTTAAAAAACTTGACTGATGAAGCCTTCCGGACCAAAGATGAAACGTTTCAGCACCAAAAAAAAAGAAACTGTCCAGATGACCTGACTGAAAAGTGTTGGATTGTATACCTGGATTATTGAGCATGGACTTTGTTGGTTTTAAAAAACGTTTCCACCGTTCGTCCTGGTCCTCCCGCCTGCCTTAAAAATAGATCCAGCTGCTGCTCCGCGTTCTGAGAAATTGCAAATGGTGTATCAGTGAAAAGTTTCTAAGAGAGATCCAGTGACTCCTCCCCCTGACCAATCAGTGATCGGCAGTGTTCTGACGTCACGTTTAGGTGCCAAATCACCTCGCTCGGTCCCACCAGAGAAGCAGGGACAAAAAAAAAGAGGCCAAATCAGCTAAAAAGTACAAGTGGAAAAGTGCTCAAACCGTAGTGAACTGAGCAGAGTTGGGGCTGAGTAGGAGTCGTGGAAAAGGGGCATAAGAGGGGGACAGCTGAACATGGAGTTCTCCACCTCAACAACAAACTGGATGATCGAGTAGGCGTTATTTATAAGACTGAGCTTAGTACAGCTCCTCAGACTGAAGAAGTCTTTCGGATGAAAGACTTCTTTTTTTTTACTATTATTATTTTTGTTTGAACCCATCCAGAGGACCAGACTTAACTTTTTTAGATTTTTCTACCTGGATTATTGAGCGTGCATCAGGATATTACAGAGTCATTGTTGTGTGTGTGTGTTGACAAGTGTTGATTAGCTGTGGCAGCCACCTTCAATTTGATTAACATGAAAAATTAATCAGGATTATAGGATTATTTTTAAACATGTTCATAATAATTGGTCCTGACATTCATGAAATGTTTTGCTTTCATCATTCTTTGTTGAAATCAGGTCTCTCTTGTAAATGGGTCCTCGAGGCTCATTGGGATTAACCTGTCTAAATAAAGGTTGAATGAATGAATTTTGCTAACAGACAGAGTTGCCTGCAATAGTTTATGGCCGGGCTTTAAATGGTTTATGAAGTTAGCACTGGGAGTGTGAGCTGGGATCAGTCGTAGCTGCTAAACAAATTTCAGCTCAGTAAGCACATGACTCTTTCTGTGCTTCCTAAACGATTAGCTGTGGCAGCCATCTTGAACTGTGTTCATTTTACAAGTTATTCAGCTGTAGTTGTACATGTAGTTCTTTCGGAGGGTTTCATCCAAAACATTCTCAGCCACCTTTCAGTGGTGGAGGAGAATGAAGTGAAACATGCAAACATTTTAAACTCGTTTTTAAAACTCAATACTTTAGTTTTCTGAGCCACTGAGTTTTGGTTTGTCATTATCTCCAAGTCATAATCATCAAAATCACAAGAACAAAAACAAGGCTTACAATATTTCACTATGTGTAATGAATTCATATAATACAGTATATGAGTTTCACTTTCTGAAATAATCGACAAAAATCAACTATATCATGATTTTTTTTTAGATGCACCTGTAATTGGTTTAATAAAATCCAGCTGTGGACAGATGTTGGCATAGATTTTCATTCATCCAGGTCATGGTTAAACCAGTGTCTGAATTTGACTGAAGAGATTTTGAATTGAGAAAACACCTCAGATGAGCAGCAAACAAACCAGGTGTGATTTTAAATTATTTTTCAGTCAAGTTTAATCCCACAGAGCATGAAGACCAAGGAACTCTTTACACTTGACATATCAGGGCTGGGTTTAAAAAAAAAAAAATCTCAAACCTCTGTGATGGACTTGTGACTTGTCCAGGGTGTCCCCTGCATCTCACACAGTGATCACTGGACATGGGCATCAGTGACCCCCACAATCTGAAAATGAAGAAGCTGGTAAAAAATAATGGATGGATGGATGGATGGATGGATGGATGGATGGATGGATGGATGGATGGATGGATGGATGGATGGATGATCTCAAACCTGTGAGTGGGGAGAGCATAAAAATTACTGTACTGATTAAATAAACTAATACATTAATTAATAATTACATTTATTTGCCAAAAGGCTTATTGGAGACCCTACAAAACATGTAGAGTATGTTTCTAAAAGACATTTCCATGGAGCCTTAGCTTCACGCTCCAAACCCCTCCTCCTTATCCGTTTCCAGCAAACAAATGAAAATGAAACTGCTTGGACCATGGTGTTTAAGTTTAAACTGTTATATGCAAAAACAGAAGGGGTTAATAGGCACACTGGAGGGGATCCAAGTGAGGCCTGACCATGGCCTCATGACCGTTTAAGATTAAAATCTTAAACTTCATTTTGCTTGTTAGTGCTGCTGGTTGAGTCAAAAGGAGAACGAGGTCTGTTTTATAATCAGTCAAGTTGCTCAATCTGCATCTTTCCCATTTGTGATCAAAGCTCCAGTTTGGCTGGTAGAACCCTCCATGATGGCACCTAGTCTGGCAGACTGGTGGAGTACGATTCCACCGTGCTGCTTCACTAAACATCATTTTTATTTTTCTGACGGAAAGTGTCCTGCAGCTTCAGCAAAACTGAAAAATAAATGTTCAAAACATTGATTTTCAGGAAATGGTATGGATTAAGGGATTCAACTTTTTAAAGGTGCTATTCGTTCAACCTTTATTTATACAGATGAGTCTCATTGAGTCACAAGGACTCCTTTACACGAGAGACCTGTTTTAGAGAGAGAACATATAAAGTACAGAAAACAATAACTCAACAAAATGCAATTAAATCAAATGAAAGTTGGAAACACGGTCAAATCAAGATGACATATAAAACAAAGTAAAATACTAAAAACAAGAACATATTTGTTTTGATATTTCTATTGATATCAAACGTTGAAAATCTCCTAAAGAGATCAAGGTGGACAACTTCAGTTCTTGTTGCAAGGTCTTTCAGGAAACAGGAGCAGAGAAGCAAAAGGCCTTTTCGCCAAGTTTAGTCTGCACTGAGGGAACACTGCAGGTAATGAATCCCTGAAAGTGCACGCTGTAACTGCACTGACGAAGTGGCGTGTGGGAGGAGATATAAGAAGGTAGCAGAATAAATGACAATGAACCAGTGTGAGAGTCTACATGTAGATAATGATGATTAACTGACCAATGATGAGTACAGAGTTCCGTAATGGGTATGGTTACAACCAGTTATAAATCTTAGCATGCCATGGTAAACAGCATCCAACATCTACAAGGAGCTGGCAGGAGCATTCATGTAAATAATGTCACCATAAGCAATGGCCGGTAGGAAAGTAGCAGCTGCAAGGTGTTTTCTGGCATTCAGAGTTAAGCAAGATCTTTGTCTGAAAAAGAAACCCAGTTTTAATTTCAGTTTCTTTATCAAGCTTTCATCGTGCAGCGTAAAAGAAACATGTGCATGCATTAAAATTCCCAAGTATTTGTAAGAATCCACAAACTCAATCGGAACACCATGCATGGAAGAGATAGGGGGAAGAGCTGCCGGCACCAACTCTCTGTTTGAAAACATCCCCTTGGTTTTATCAGCATTTAGCACCAGTTTGAGACAGAACAATCAGAGATGCAAGGAGGCATCATTATTGTTTTGACCGACATTATTTATATAAATTGTAAACAGAGTGGGTCCTAAAACTGAGCCTTGTGGCACACCAAGTATCGTTGTGACGAACATATTGCCTCACACCTGAGAGACGGTTAGAAAACCAACCAACAGTGCGATCTGAAGCAAATAAAAAGCATGGTTTGTGATTATTTATTTATTTTGGTCAAAAATATCCCATTCATCACTTAACTGACTTTTTTTTTTTTACCATTTTGTCTAACTTGGAGAAAAATGTTATGAGACATTAGAAACCATTCCAGGACTTGGACTATGTGTTGGAATGACTCAGTGACATCATCAAAATGTGTTCAAGATCTGTAAAACAGTTCAAGGAAATAACCAAGTTTGACATTTTCAATGGTGAAGTCAGTTTAAGGTTAATCGAGTTTTACTTTTAGAGTTTCATGAATCTCCGTCCACTGTAGGAGACATTTTGCCAACATTAAAACTCGATTTTGGTAAAATAAAAACAACAATTGTATAAAAATTTTTGTAGCTTTTGAAACCTTCCAGCCTTTTTATCTTTGATGTGCTGCTACAGTTGTACCCCATGACATTTGACATCATATCCTTACTTTACAAAATATGGGAATGAAAACTCACATTTCAGGACATTTTGTTTCTTAGTTTAATCACCCTGTCTTACTTTTACTGACCAGTCCAGGTAAAAGTGCAGCAGCTGAATTAAAGTTAAAGTTATTGACGTGTCTAATTTCCATGCCCTTTGTCTTTCTGAATATATAAAGCTTTTTTTTTTTTTTTGCTCCTTTTTCATATTTTACAATACTACACCAAAAACAATTCATGAAAAATCCTGAGAATGGTTTTTTTTTCTGCCTCCGTGATCTGAACTAATGGGAGGCGCTGCCATCTTGTGGTGAGAGCAGACAGAGACTCAAAGAGACGGGATATAAATGTTTTATCATAACCTTTACTTCTTAGATTCCACTTTTATTTTATTATTTAAACAAAATGTTCAAGTTGGCAAAACAAAAACAGATCAGCAAACAGGACTGGAGCGATGATCGGAGCATTCGGGCTCATCAGGACGCATCAGTTCTAAAGGAAAAAGATAAAAATGTGCATCATTTACGTTTCTTGAAAGGTAGAAAAAGATGCAAGATTTTTTTTAAACTTATTTTCCAAAGGAAGAATGTTAAAACCTCTTGTGAGGATGCATCAGGTCAAAGGTCATATCATGTCAGATTTCACATTTATGACTTTTCTGTCAGACCGGTTACTTCAGACTCTCCCTCTCTGGGCTGGGATTGGGATTATTCGACAAACACATGGAAAACTATGACAAGTATGTACAATATGACGACCTGACCACTAAGTCAGAAACAAAACAGACCCAGTTTAACCAGGCTATGAATAAAAGCAGATGTGAAAGTTATAATTAAGCAGAGCATTCACACACCTAGTAGGTGTGTCTGAATAAAAAATAAACTGGCACAACTGGTAGGACCTGTCCTGGACACTTTGTACCAACAGACACAGGATTCACTTGCCAGGCTTTGATCGCAGGTGTGACAGTGCTGGTCCGGCTACATTCCTGTCCTTTTTATTCAAACGACAGGGCTGAACACATGGACGCTGAAACTGCTGAAAATGGACGATTTCACAGGAAAGACATCTTCAAAAAGTGGACAAAAAACAAACCTCATCACTGCTGGATGAAGAGTGTCCATGTTTTCCTTCCTTTCCCTTCTTCTCCTTCTTCTTCTTCTTGTCTCCATGGCCATCTTTGTCCTTTGATTTGTCTTTGTCTTTATCCTTGGATTTGTCTTTGTCCTTGGATTTGTCTTTGCTGTCAGACTTGTCTTTGCTGTCACCCTAAAAAATGACAAATAAAACATTTTTGAAACTCCACAGTTCATTCTAACAGCTCCATGTGACAGAAAAGACCAATTTAGAGGAACGAGGGGACAAAAACAAATGCTGCAATCTGCATAAACAAGTCTAACATCATGAGCACACTCATAACTTTTGTTGGATGTAACTGGGATCCTGTATACATAATTTTGTTATAATAAAGATTCTTGAATCCTTGAATAACTTCCATCCACAGCAGATATTTCTCACACATCTTTACCTTCTTGTCCTTATCTTTATTCTTGTTTTTGCTCCAAGGCAAGCTGAGCTCGTCCTTTTGGGCCTCGTCCTTCTTCACCTCCTCGTCTTTATCTGCAGCTGAAAAAATGAACAAAAATAAAGTGTCAATTAATAAAGAACTATCACAGAAGATCTAAAGAGTCTTCAAAGTGCAACCAGAGCAAACACATCAAAAACAACATTTGAAGGAGACTAGATTAAAACTGACCTGATGACAGATCGAAATCCATTCTGTTCGTGTTTCTCTAATCCCCACAGGCTCTGTTGACTTGTTTCCTTCTGAAAGATCCAGAAAGTGTGTTTGAACCACACCTAAAGTAGGAGGCAGAGCTGAGCCACGCCCACAAACACCTCCACCTTCACCATGATGACGGCTCATGTTTTTTTCAGTGAATACAGGCTCGTGTCTGACAGCAGGTCTGTGCCTGCATCAACACAAATGGGTCATTATATTGAGAATGTTTTATTTCTTTTGCCTGAATAACCAGCAGGCTGCCATAGACTTGATCCATTAGTCCACCTTTACCTTAGTAAGACACTGAGAGAGACCCAGATCTAAAAGTTTGTTCACATGTTGCATAATACTCTTGAAATCCTAAATAAACCCATCCACTCCAGCTCATCATGACATAAAATGTCATTTTGAAAGGGGAACATCTCGTTCCACTGCTTTGGGAGAGTACACTCATTTTTTTAAACTGTGGACACTTATTTCTAGGGAAACAAGTGGTGTAGCAATGTCCCCTGTCTCTGAGGGTTTTCAATGTTAAATTTTAGGGCTTGTAATTTTTTGCTGGACATTTTAAAGGATCCCCTCATTTTTACTTTCAAGAATTCATTACCTTGTCTCGCATTGGATTTGTTATGTCCTCGTGCACCTCCAGCCTTAAACTAATTGCTCTCCTTGAGACATGTAAAGTTGAGCTTTATTTGAATTGGCCTGCAAGAAATTGCTACAATAAGCCTGTACCAAGAGCCACTTCCCTTTTGCCAGCTTGCCAACGGGACAGGAACAGGTCCTGTGTCCCTCGATTCCACCTTTATTTGCCGTCAACCCAAAGAAAGACAAAGGAAAGAAAACACCAGGACAGAACGCTTTGAGGCCGGGGGTCCCAATGTGCAGTGTGGAGAGGCCCGGGGCGGGCAACTCATCCTGGAATAAATAAACCTGTGGTGGTGTTTTGGGAAGGCTGTGCTGCTACATAAACTAATAGTGAAGGCTTGCAGTAGCTTAGCTATTGGGCCTAGAGGTGAGCCACGGCCATGCTACTCAGCAGAGGAAGCTGGCGGCAGAAGCTTTGGCCATCGGGGCTGCTCATTTCCAGTGACAGCCAGAGGAAAGAGTTGAACCAGGCATCTCTTATATGCTGCCATGGTCAGCATGGATTTAACGAAAAGGTAACTGTAGTTAGTAAGTTGGGAGTAAAAAAATGCCAGCAAACACAACTCGGGGAAAGAGAAGGACTCTACATCTGTGGACAGTGTGGGAAAGATTAAAATATTTCTGAACTTTATGTCAACCGAACTAGCAAAGCTAACATCACAACAGGAACGTTTAATCGGAATAATAGAGGAAGTGAAGTCAATAAAGATTTAAAGCTAGCCAAACTGGGGCAGGGTGGATGAATTAGAACAATATACTAAAAGAGATGATTCAGAAGTGGTGGGCACACAGCTAACCAAAAAGCAGTGGTGTAGTCTGCATTTTCTGTAGTGTGTATACTGCGGCGAAGTTAGTTTTACGTCGGACGTTGGACACTGCTGCCACTGAAGCCACAGAGCGCAAATGTCCAACAATCAACATCAAGCTAACTTTACCGTGGTCGGTCAGTAAACTGTGCTTAGAAACCAAAGTACACTGGTTAGTACAATGTAATCATCAATTTATTTTGATTTTTAAGCATATTGAACATTTCCAAATTTCTCTGATGCTTATATTGGAATAAATTAACAACAAACTTTGTACAACAGTTGGCTTTGTATTAAAAACATGTTATTGAATTTATAAAACAGTATCAAAGCAAAAACACTTTCAAGTATTAAGTAGTAAGTACAAAAGTATTAATTATACAATAATTCGCTGGATAAGTGAATGTAATAAACAAGCTCTGCATACCAATAAATTGTTACGGAAGTGTATAACTACTGTTTAACTTATCAATGACATGTGCTTAATGATATGACATGCATCATTGGGTACTTTTAAGTGAGTATACTGAAATTCTTAAGCTTTTCTAGTGGGTATACTCCATATGCTCACATATCACATAGACTAGACCACTGCCAAAAAGTTAGCTTTGTTAACCGCTAATTTGCTAACTAAAAATATTAGCTTCAGTAACACTAAACAGATTAAAATATTTGCGAGAGCTAACACAAGACGGTAACACTTCACAATAAGGTACACAAAATTTGATTTACTACTAAGGAACGTCTCAGGAACGAATCAGAAACAAATCAGGAGCTAATTGGTAGTTAACCAGTTCTTACTGGGGAACACACAGCCAAGCTTTATTAGGGGACTACTGGTTTGTTACCTTATAAATGAAGAGGAAGAAATTAAGAACCAATGAGTAGTTGCTAAGGAAACCAATGAGGAACAAATCAGGAGCTAATGGGTAGTTAACAAGTACTTACTGGGAAACACACAGCCAAGCCTTATTAGGGGACTACTGGTTTGTTACCACAGGAACAAACCAGCAGGTGATGGTCAGGTAGTGATTAAGTAATGACTGGTTCCTCAGTAAGTTTGGTATGATGCTTCACAAAATCAGTGAACAAAATGATAGTCAAACCATGATTTGGTACTCAGTCAGTGATAGGCAGACATAGTTAAGATGACAGCTGTACAAGATGATGAACCCAATGTCTTTCATCAATAGGTTTACAAAAGAGAAAATCCAATAAAATCACTAATCGCTAGGAAACAGGTTTTTGACAATTACAAACTGCACTCTTAACCCGAACTAGTGGACTTTACTAGAAAATTGCGTGGAAACCCGTTGCCTTAAACCATTCTAGTTTTTACACAAAGAAGAAACTAAACATGTTTAGTTGTGGTAACTTAGAACCTCAATACAATGTAATAAACACATTTAGTAGTCTGTACTAAAATTGATTACAGACAGAACTAATCAATTTTAGTGATGACCTCACTGGTGCAGGGTTTATTCATTTCTCCTCCGTTTCTGTGGTAACTAACCAGTAGTCCCCTAATAAGGCTTGGCTGTGTTTTTCCCAGTAAGTATTGATTAACTATCCATTAGCTCCTGACTTGTTCCTCTTTGGTTTCCTTGGTACCTATTAGTTCTTGAATTGTTCCTCTTCATTTACAAGGTAACTAACCAGTATCCCCTAGGCTTGGCTGTGCATTCCCCAGTAAGTACTGGTTAACTACCCATTAGATTTGTTCCTCTTTGGTTTCCTTAGTAACTACCCATTAGTTCTTGATTTGTTTGTTATTTACAAATTAACTAACCAGTAGTCCCCTAAGGCTTGGATGTGTTCCCCAGTAAGTGCTGGTTAACTACCCATTAGCTCCAGATTTGTTTCTGAGGCGTTCCCTAATAGTTTTTTTAATTGTTTTGGTCCGTCCAGAGGACCTGACTTAACTTAGTTACATCTTGATACTGAATAAAGCTTCCAGAATTTATATACACTGTTTGTTTTTTCATTCAACCTTTATTTATACAGTACAGGTTAATCCCATTGAGCCTCGGGGACTCATTTACAAGAGAGACTGATTTTAACAAATAGTGATGACAACAGTGGATAACAAAGACAATAATACACAATCATAAAGGATGTGTGCAAATTGATTTTTTTTTTCTAACAAGTGAAAATAAAATGGTATTTAAAAGAAAATCTAACAAAAAAACTTAGGTTGTAAGGCGGTGTAGAATACTAAAAACAAGAACATGTCTGCATTGTTTTTTCCCAGGAACTTAGCAGATGTTTGAAGCCACTTAGAGATGTCAAGGTTGAGAGCATCAGATCTTTTTGCAAGATATTCCAAGAAACATGAGCAGAGTAGGAGAAGGCCCTTTTGCCTAGTTCAGTCTGCACTGAGGGAACACTGCATGTAATAAAGCCCTGAGAGCACACCCTGTAGCTGTACTCACACAGTGACATGTAGGAGGAGATGTATGAAGGCAGCAGACCAAGAAGTGATTTAAAAATGAAAATGTACCAGTGAGAGAGTCTGCGTGAAGTTAATGATGTCCAGTTAACCAGTGAATACAGGGTGCAATAGTGGGTACGATAGTTACAGCCAGTTATGAATCTTAGTGCACCATGATAGGCAGTGTCCAACATCTGCAGGGTGCTTGTGGGGGCATTCATGTAAATAACGTCACCGTAGTCAATGGAGGGAGATAAAGTCGCAGTTACAAGGCGTTTCCTAGCGTTCAGAGTTAAACAGGATCTATTTCTGAAAAAGAAACCCAATTTAACTTTTAGTTTCCTTACTAGGTTTTCCGTGTGGAGCTTAAAAGAGAGATGCAAATCAACCAAGATACCCAAATATTTGTAGGAATCGACAAATTCAATAGGGGCACCATTCAAGGTTAAAATCAAAGGAAGAACTGCTGGGACCGACTTCCTGTTTGAAAAAAAAACCCATCCCTTTGGTTTTGTCTGTGTTTAGGACAAGTTTGAGACGGAACAAATCTCACTGGATGATGGCAACAGCAGTTTGCAAAAGCTGGAAAACCTTAGCAACTGTTTTAGCTTGGCAATAAACAGCTGTGTCATCAGCATAGAAATGTAAGGAGGCATCATGCTCTGGCCTGCATTGCCTATGTAGATTGTGAAGAGGGTGGGTCCTAAGATAGAGCCTTGTGGTACACCATTGTTGACTGTTAAATAACTGGAGGAAGTACCATTACAGGTCCTTCTCAGAAAATTAGCATATTGTGATAAAGGTCATTATTTTCCATAATGTAATGATAAAAATGAAACTTTCATATATTTCAGATTCATTGCACACCAACTGAAATATTTCAAGTCTTTAATTGTGTTAATACTGATGATTATGGCATACAGCTCATGAAAACCCAAAATGCCTGTCCCAAAAAATTAGCATATTTCATCCCACCAATGAAAGACAAGTGTTTTTAATACAAAAAACGCCAACCTTGAAATAATCATGTTCAGTTATGCACTCAATACTTGGTCGGGAATCCTTTTGCATGAATGACTGCTTCAATGCGGCGTGGCATGGAGGCAATCAGCCTGTGGCACTGCTGAGGTGTTATGGAGGCCCAGGATGCTTCGATAGTGGCCTTAAGCTCATCCAGAGTGTTGGGTCTTGCGTCTCTCAACTTTCTCTTCACAATATTCCACAGGTTCTCTATGGGGTTCAGGTCAGGAGAGTTGCCAGGCCAATTGAGCACAGTAATACCATGGTCAGTAAACCATTTACCAGTGGTTTTGGCACTGTGAGCAGGTGCCAGGTCGTGCTGAAAAATGAAATATTCAACTCCATAAAGCTTTTCAGAAGATGGAAGCATGAAGTGCTCCAAAATCTCCTGATAGCTAGCTGCATTGACCCTGCCCTTGATAAAACACAGTGGACCAACACCAGCAGCTGACATGGCACCCCAGTGACTGTGGAAACTTGACACTGGACCTCAAGCATTGTGAATTCTGTGTCTCCTCGCTTCCTCCAGACTCTGGGACCTTGATTTCCAAAGGAAATGCAAAATTTACTGTAATCAGAGAACATAATTTTGGACCACTCAGCAGCAGTCCCAGGCGAGATGCTTCTGACGCAGTCTCTTGTTCAAGAGTGGCTTGACCTGGAGAATGCAGCACCTGTAGCCCATTTCCTGCACACGCCTGTGCACGGTGGCTCTGGATGTTTCTACTCCAGACTTAGTCCACTGCTTCCGCAGGTCCCCCAAGGTATGGAATCGGCCCTTCTCCACAATCCTCCTCAGGGTCCGGTCACCTCTTCTCGTTGTGCAGTGTTTTCTGCCACACTGTTCCCTTCCCACAGACTTCCCACTGAGGTGCCTTGATACAGCACTCTGGGAACAGCCTATTCATTCAGCAATTTCTTTCTGTGTCTTACCCTCTTGCTTGAGTGTGTCAATGATGGCCTTCTGGACAGCAGTCAGGTCGGCAGTCTTACCCATGATTGCGGTTTTGAGTAATGAACAAGACTGGGAGTTTTTAAAAGCCTCAGGAATCTTTTGCAGGTGTTTAGAGTTACGTCGTTGATTCAGATGGTTAGGTTAATAGCTTGTTTAGAGAACCTTTTCATGATATGCTAATTTTTTGGGACAGGCATTTTGGGTTTTCATGAGCTGTATGCCATAATCATCAGTATTAAAACAATTAAAGACCTGAAATATTTCAGTTGGTGTGCAATGAATCTGAAATACATGAAAGTTTCATTTTTATCATTACATTATGGAAAATAATGACCTTTATCACAATATGCTAATTTTTTAGAAGGACCTGTATGTTGAACACATTGCCTCCGATCTGAAAGATAAACAACCAACCAATGGTGTGTTCTGAGAACCTTCAAATTTAAAAAGATTATAAAAGCCACTATCCATCCATCCATTATCTTTACCTGCTTATTCCATTTTGGGTCATGGGGGTCGCTGGTGCCCATGTCCAGCAATCACTGTGCGAGGGGCGGGGTACACCCTGGATGGGTCGCAAGTCCATCACAGGGCCACATAGAGACAAACGAGACAAACAACCACTCACACTTTCACTCACACCTAGGGACAATTTAAAGTTACCAATCAGTCTAACATGCATGTTTTTGGTCTGTGGGAGGAAGCCGGAGCACCCGGAGAAAACCCACGCATGCACGGAGAGAACATGCAAACTCCACCCAGAAAGGCCCCTGGACCGGGGTTTGAACCAAGGACCTGCTCACTGAGAGGCAGCAGCTCTACCAGTTGCGCCACCATGCTGCCCTAAAAGCTAGTATATTAAAAAAATAATATATGGGGTAGTTTGTACTGACATAAACTGTTTTTGGAATAAGAGGTGATGGACCAGACATTTTGTTTTGCTTTTTATTTACAAGTAATGCAATTTGTTCGGGCTTGAATCTGAAAAAAGTTTTGTATTAGGATGTTGATATTTATTTATTCATTTTCGATAAGTGGCAGACATGATTAAAAAAAACTCTTCTCTCTCCCTTTCATTAATGGTTTGATGTATCTTGTGTTTTGAATTATTGTATATAAAATTCCTTTTTAAAATAAAGAACTAACTAAATACATAGTGAATGTTTCTAGTTTTAGAGATGAGTGTTTTTCTGAACTGGAGCTAAACAGAGAATGAAGTACACCTTAATGATTTTGGTGCAAGATATTCAAGTGGAATAGGAGTAACACTGTGGAGAACAGATGGCGTTATTGTATCTTTTTTTGTCCTTTTCTGAGGTAGCACATATATAGTGATAGATCATGGGGAGTGAAGGAAGGAAGCAATTTTATTCACCACCAGCTTCTATGGCAGAGCCAGTGGGTGGCGCTGGCCAATGGTTAGTGGGTGGTCAGAACCAATGGGGGGTTTTAAGCCAAGACATTAATTGTCACTCACTCCAAGGGCTACCCCAGTCTTTTGAGGGAACCATATTTTGAGCAACAACAACTAGAAAACATAGTTTCCTCAAATGACAGGCAGTTTACATATGGTGGTGGCCATTTGGTATTTTGACTTGGCTCAAGTTTTGATACAAACCTTTTTTAAGCTTGGAAGCAGCCCCACACCAAAACGAACGTCAGGACGTTGCTTATTTTTCAAGTTATCCAGCACACAATGTTTACATATATACAGATATGGTGACAGCCATCTTGGATTTTGATGTGGCAACCAAATTTGATAGGAACCTTTCTTGTGTGTAGATGTAGCCACATAACAAAAAAGAAGTCAGTACCTCACTTATGTTTTAAGTCCAATTTCCCCTTTTCACTCTGCGATGGGACACAGAGGGATATTTACAACCCAAATTAAAAGAGACTTTGGCATTTTCCTTCTGGGTCTCTTGTCAAGAAAATCCAACAGATTCTTGGAAGTCAACAATTCCAATGACCTCAACAAGGGCCTCATGTAAGAGAGTGAAGCTTTCATACAGAAAGCTGGTGTAGGAACAAAATGTCAAGTGTGTGCATACCAAAATACTTTGTATTCAGATTAACAAACCATGTGCACACATGTTTCTGTGCACCTTTCCTTCATACATCCTGATGAACATGGAAGAGAGTGTGCATGAGATACCTCCTCTGACATGCCTCCATTTAAAAATGAAAATACAGTAGATGCTAAGACATTTCATCATTCAACCAAAGGACTTCTTCAGTCCGAGGAGTCACAAACAAACTGGAGTCCCACAAGCACCAACTCCCATAGTGGGGAAAAAAAACAATTTGCTGGTGATAAGATGGTTTCAATCAGATGGCCTGACTGAACATTGTTGGGTTTGTACGTGGATTATTGAGCATGAACTTTGGTAGTGGGCTGTAAAAATAGTTTGGGCACACAGTCCAAAGGTGTGGTTGACAGAACAGCACACGCCTGATGGCAGCGTCACAAGAAGGCACTGCCGACAGACAGAACTCAAAGAGACATGAAATAAATGTTTTTGTTGCCATAAACTTTACTTCTTAGATTCACCTTTCTTGTTTAAAAAAAAAGTTAAGTTGGTCAAACAAAACAGATCAGCAACAGAACTGGAGTGATGATGGAAGCAGCTGGGCTCATCGGGACACATCAGTTCTAAAGAAAAAAAGATAAAAAGGTGCATCATTTACATTTCATGAAATGTAGAAACAGAATCCAAACAAGATTAAAAGCTAAAATCAACTGGACTTTATTTGTAACTGAAGATGTTTCGCTTCTCATCCGAGGCGCTTTCTCAATTCAAAGAAACAAGGAATGTGGGATTCAAGTTATAAAGCTGAGGTGTTCTGTAAGCTTGCATAATGCAGATTGACCTCTCGCCCCTCACAATAGAGGATCGTTGGGGTCTTTGTTAGTCCCACCCACAGAGGGGCCACTCTGGTCACATGTTTGAAATTCCTGACAGGTGTGAAACTGGTTGGGTATCAGTCCTAAAGCTGCACTGTAGGTTGTCATCAGCATAGTAACAGAAAATAAAATGTACTTTGTTTCCAAAGCAAGAATGTTAAAACCTCTTCAGACAAGCGGACTAACTTCCTGTTATGAAATCTTTTCTGAAAAACACTTTTTTTTTTGGTCTCTTTGACTTTTAACGCTGATGGAAATGTTGGTTGTACTGTTTTTAAATGTATTTAATTTAATTGTTTATACTGTCTTTATGATTTTTATTATTTATTGATTATTATTTCATTACTTTTATGATATCAATTGATTTTATACTTTTTTATGCTTGCTTGTATGCGTTAGTGTACAGCACTTTGGCCAAGGGAGTTGTTTTTAAAATGCTTTATCTACAAAGTTGTATTGTATTATGAGGCCCCAACAGGTCAAAGGTCACATCATGTCAGATTTTACATTTATGACTTTTCTGTCAGACCAGTTACTTCAGACTCTCCCTCTCTGGGCTGGGATTGGGATTATTCGACAAACACATGGAAAACTATGACAAGTAATATGATGACCTGACCACTGAGTCAGAACCAAAACAGACCCAGGTTAACCAGGCTGTGAATAAAAGCAGATGTGAAAGTTATAATTCAGCAGAGCATTCAAACATACTTTGAACTTAAAAAGTCTGTCCTTCATGCACAGGATCCCACACTGAAACTGCTGAAAATGGAAGATTTCACAGGAAAGACATCTTCAAAAAGTGAATAAAAAACAAACCTCATCACTGCTACATGAAGAGTGTCCATGTTTTCCTTCTTTTCCCTTCTTCTCCTTCTTCTCCTTCTTCTTCTTTTTGTCTCCATGGCCGTCTTTGTCCTTGGATTTGTCTTTGTCCTTGGATTTGTCTTTGTCCTTGGATTTGTCTTTGTCCTTGGATTTGTCTTTGTCCTTGGATTTGTCTTTG